TTGTGAGCACTATAGCGAACCTGCTGATGGATTAGTGGTTATTCAAGGAAAAGAAAACCCCCTATCCAATTTCTTTCCCTGTGATGTTAAGGTCTTCGGGGAAACCCACAAATCAGCTGAGCACGCCTACCAGCTTACGAAAGCTATTCGATCTGGAGACTTCAACGCTACCGAAAACATCCGCGTTGCTCCCACAGCTCTTGAGGCTAAGAGAATAGGAGATAAAGTGAGAAGATCCCAGAAAAGTGGCAAGATCAAAAAGAAACGGTAATGGAGGAGATCATACATGCTAAAGCTACTCAGGTACCGGAACTTCGCGAGAAACTGGAAAATTCAGATGCTAAAACACTATTCGCCGAAGCAACTAACGATATATTCTGGGGAACCGGGCTATATCCAGATGCTACCCTCCATACGAATCCGGAAAAATGGCCGGGCGAAAACCGGCTAGGACAGATTCTGGGTAGGATAACATCAAAACTTACAAAAAGACTCAGAAGTACCTCACTTCCGAAAAATAAGAACCCAGACGAAAATCAGACAAATCTGGACGGCTTCATTCGGGAGGCCAGGAGAAACTCAAACAGGAAGAGAAATGTAAAGGACCAGGGGTAATTTAGCAAATATAGCTTTATGTAAATGAGTACAAACTTACTAACATTCTATTCTATAAACGCTCGTGGTTTAAATACTTATAGTAAAAGGATTTTGTTGTTTGAATGGATTAAAGATGCAAAATTTGATATAATTTTCTTGCAAGAAACACATTTTATTGAAGCAAATGAAGTAATTTATAATTCACGTTGGTTTGGGTATAAAATTCATAGTTTTTCTGATTCAGTATATAGTAGAGGTGTATCTATTTTGTTTAAAGAGAATCTTGATATCGAAATACTAGATAAACATTCTTCGATTGACGGTAGAAAATTATTGGTAAATGTTAAATTATCTGAACAAATTTTAAGTTTGGCCAATTTTTATGTGCCAAATAAAGAAAATGACAAAATCATATTTTTAAATAAAATGTTGAAATGGGTCAATAAATATGCTAAAAGCTTAGATAACTTAATAGTTTGTGGAGATTTTAACTGTCAGATAGATATCATCGAAAATAATAGAAATGTAAAGGCTCTTAGAAACTTTGTGAAATCATTAAATTTGATCGACTGTTGGTCCTTTAGTGATAAAAATAACGAACAGGGGTACACGTGGTGTGATGGGGAAAATAATCCAAAATCTAGAATTGACTACGTATTTACGTCAGAAAGTTTCTGCTATAGGTTTAATCAAATTTTATTAAGAAAAGCTCCTAATTATGACGGGACAAGATTTAGTGACCATTTAGGTTTATACTTTGATTTTTGTACCGCAGAAAATGTTAGTGGGAGTGGTTATTGGAAAATGAATACGTCACTTCTCAACAAAGAAAAATTTTGCAATGAAATGAGAAACTTTATTAAACAAGAAATATCTAGAATTCATGATCCTGATCCGGTTTCTAAATGGGAATGCTTGAAAAAATCAATTAAAAATTTCACAATAGCCTATTCTAAAGAAAATGCTGTATCGAAAAGAAAGCGAATTGATTTCATTGAGAATCAAATTAAAATATTGGAAAATAAACCCTACTCGCATATAAATATGAGATATAAAAAACAGCTTGAAAATGAAATTGATGAATTATATGCACAAAAATGTAAAGGGGCTTACATAAGATCAAGAGCTGTCTGGATGGAAAAGGGCGAAAAAAGTACTGCATATTTCTTAAATTTAGAAAAAAAACAACAGGGCGACAATACGATCAATAAAGTTACTAATGACGACAATATTGTCTTTATGGAAAATGGAGATATTATGAAAGCTTTAGTCGATTTTTATAATGCATTATATGAGAGTAGAAAAATCTGTGATCAAGATATTGAAAAATACCTTGAAAATATTGAATGTCCTAAAGTTAGTGAAAATGATAGAAATAACTGCGATAAATTACCGACCATGTCTGAGTGTAAGGACGCCATTCATCATATGAAAAATAACAAATCTCCTGGTTCTGATGGACTTCCAGCAGAATTTTATAAAATATTTTGGAATGATATTAAAGATATATATTTCTCATGTTTAATCAAAAGTATTGAGATCGGAATTCTACCATTCTCACAACGAGACGCAATACTCTCCCTTATTTACAAAAAAGGTGATAAAGATAAATTAAAAAATTACAGACCTATAAGTCTCACAAATGTGGACTATAAAATTTTTGCACAGATTTTAGCTTTACGATTACAGCCTGTTGCTAAAAGAATCATAGGAAAAGAACAAAGTGTATACATCAAAGGAAGATACATTGGAGAAAATGCGAGACTGATACTTGATATATACGAGCACTGTATGAATCACGATCTTGATGGCATATTGTTATTCTTAGATTTCGAAAAAGCATTTGACTCTGTTGAGTATAACTTCATGTTTAAAACATTACGAAAATTCAACTTTGGAGAAGACTTCATTGATATGATCAAAACTCTTTATAATAATCCTACGTTCAAAATTAAAAATAACGGCTGGATTTCAAAATCTTGCTCAATGAAAAGGGGAATACGTCAAGGATGTCCGGTATCTGCGCTTCTCTTTATTTTCGTATTAGAAATACTTGCTATCCAAATTAGAAATAATGAAAATATACATGGCCTATCATTTAATGAGAATGCCTAAAAAAATATTAAGATAGTCCAACATGCTGATGACTGCACAAATGCCTTAAAAGACACCAATTCATTGGCAACTACTCTTAATATTATTCACCATTTTAGTACAGTTGCTGGTCCGAAACTTAACTTATCTAAAACTGAATGTATCTTAACTGGTTCCTTAATTGATGAGTATTGCAATAATAACGACCTATACGGTGTAAAAATTGCAACTGAAAGTGTTAAATCTCTTGGAATATATTTAGGTCATAATAAAGACGTGTGTTATGAAAAAAATTGGCTAAGTAAACTTGAAAAACTTGAAAAAATGTTAAGTGTTTGGCGAAAACGCAACTTAACAATATTTGGAAAATGTACAATAATAAATACTTTAGCGGTATCAAAGCATGTTTACAATGCGTTTATTTTACCTAATCCAGATAAAGAATTCTTTAAAAGAGCTTCAAAAATCATTTTTAACTTTGTGTGGAAAAAGAGAGAGAGGATTAAACGAAATACATTGATTGGTAAAATTGAACAAGGAGGAATAGGAATCGTTGATATTGAAAGTAAATTTTCTGCTGCGAAAGCTTCGTGAGTAAGAAGAATATTGGATAAAGATACAATCACACACTTTACTTTAAATAGTCTATTGGAAAATAGTAATTTATCTATAAATGATATCATTAAAACAACGAGTTGCAATTTGAATGATAAAAAATTCTGGGAATTGACTAATTTCCCACAGTTTTATGTGGAAGTATTTTCAATGTTTAATAAGTGCAAAAAAATCAAACAAAACAACAAAATTCTGAAGGAAGAATTTTTATCCCAATTCATCTCACACAATAATTTATTCCGATATGATTCTAAAACATTATGTTTTGAACAATGGATCAAGAGTGGTATATTATATGTAAAAGATCTTTTTGATGAAAACGGTGAAATACATGCAATAGATTACTTTTGGGATAAATTAAAATGTAAAAACAATATTTACTGTGAATATATTATGCTAAAAAAGACATTAAGACCTTTTAAATCAAGGCTTGATTGTTCCTATGCCAATTATATTAATATTCATAATTATGACTCGTTTTTGTTTAGAAACAATTGTTTTAAATCGATCAAATCTCTAAAAAGTGATTTTTATTATTCGGTCTTAGTTCAATCCAAATTTCAGAATTCAATATATAAGAATAAGTGGAATAAGTATTTCAACATAGAAGATAAATCATTATGGAAGAATATATACATTTCAAAAATTTGTAATATGTATGACAAAAAGATTGCAGAATTCAATTACAAACTGATTAACTGTCTGTTAAATACTAATATAAGTGTAAGTAAATGGAATAAAGATGTATCACCAATGTGTGAGTTATGTAATGTATCAGAAGATAGTGAACATCTTTTATTTTCTTGTACAATTACAACATATTTGTGGAGGAAAATTAGTATATTTTTAAAATTTAATGTTTCATGGAAACGTGTTATGTTGGGATTTTTTTAGGTGATTTATCAGAGAAAACATGTATTTTGAATAATCTTATCTCATTTATTTGTTTTACAATCTATAAATATAAAATGAAGAGTCGATTCAATAATGAAAGAATGTCAGAAGAAAATTTGAAATCTTATGTTAAAAATTGGCTTGTTTTACAAAATTCTATTGTGAAAAAAACTGGTAAAATAAGAAACAACATGTACAATGACTTAGCAAATTGTTTATGAAAAAAAATTATGGTGTAGACAATGACATATCCAACACATGAAGAAACCAGTCTTCATGTGTGGTAGCTAGGGGTCCTCATTATGGACAGTGCTGGTGTTGAATAGGACTCCCTTTGCTACCTGGATTCAATATTTATTTATTTCTCCCTATGTATTATACATTCTATGTTTATATGCTCTTAGAATAATTGCATTAAATTGAACAGATAAATTTGTGAATGTTATAAAAGAAAACAAAATGCTTATTATATACCTATGATACGTATGATATATTTATATATTTTTCTTTTCTTCTCTATAGAAGTAATATAACTACTGAACAGATAAATTTGTGAATGTTATAAAAGAAAACAAAATGCTTGTTATATACCTATGACACGTATGATATATTTATATATTTTTCTTTTCTTCTCTATAGAAGTAATATAACTACTCTGAAATGAACATAAAAAAGATTAATTGTGATGTATGTTACAATTTATATCCACTATGTTGTATATTGCATATGCTTTTAATAAAAAAAAAAAAAAAAAAAAAAAAAATAAATCTTATAAATAAAATAATTTCCTGGTTACTTGTCCGATCTTTAACGCCCATGCCTTTAGACCATCCCTTATATGTTTCCATCATTGTTTCCAGAGGATTATACTATCAAAAATTAAATTAGATTTCATATTCATAAAGGAACAATTAAATTAAATGTCAACTTCTAAAATTTCTTTCATTTGTTGGTTGGGAAAGGGATAGTTTATACCTTGTGTTTCCCTTGACATTCAGCCAACAGCATTACTAAATCTGAAAAAAAAATGTGTGTTTCTAATTAGTGACATTCCTTTTTTATTATTTTCTCACGTCTATATAAGCTTTACAAGTTTAGTTAGAACAACGACAATGAACACATGCTGCTGTTTATACTTTATACATTGTTTTCGTGCACTACAGTATTTGGCCTTAATACTATAATCAAAATTACATCCCTGCCCCCATGGTGGTTTTAAACTTAAACAAGAGGCCTAAGGACACATCGCTCACCACAGCACATTGTCTACGTAAAAAAGCAAAAATCGCTTTCAGTACAGAAAAGTTAAATAACCTGATGATGCTTCCATATCAATATAACAAATGACTTTGCTATTTTTGAGCATATGATTTGTTTCCCCATTTTTCATTTAACTCCCCCTCCATTGTGGCCCAACCATATCCCTGAGGCCCTCATTTGAACCAGTATGACTTTGTACTACCCGAGGATGCCTCCATATTAATGTCATGTTGTAAATTTTGAATTTACTGCCACCCGGTTAATTCAAAATTTACAACATGACATTAATTTGATTACACATGGATTTTCTGTTCTTGGCTAAAAAAAATTTCTTGATATTTCTAGGTAAAACTTTGTCGCCCAATATGTGGCCCACCGTACCCATCCCTTTCTCTCCCCATTGAGACTTGAACGAACTTGAATCAACACTTCATGAGGATGCTTCCATAAAGATATGATCAATCATGGCTTTGTGAATCTTCAAAAGAAGAATTTAAAAAAAGATTAATTTCAGATGTATTCATTCCTATGTAAAACTTTAATCGTCCATTGTGGGTCCGCCCTACCCCCAGGGGTCATGATTTGATCAAACTTGAATCTATTCTACTCTACCTGAGGATGTTTCCATATAAGTTTCATCTTTCTTGGCCCAGTGGTCTTGAGAAGATGAATTTAAAAGATTTTTCCTATATATCCCTATAAAAATTTTTTATCGTAAATTGTGGCCCCACCTAGAACCAGGGGTCATTATTTGAACAAACTTAAATCTACACTAGTGAAGAAGATTTTTAAAATATTGCCATCATTTTTTTCACTAATTCATAATTATCGCCCCTTGGAAAAGGATGTGTCCCTTCATTTGAACAAACTTGTATCCCCTTCACCTAAGGATACTTTGTGGCAAGATTGGTTGAAATTGAAAATGTGTATTTTGTTGGGGGGGGGGGGGGCAGCTATTCTCATCTTTGATAAATCATGTGTCTGAAACTCTGGTCTTTTCTGTCGCAATAAAGTGCATGACATAAATGTTATGAAATCGATGTAAAATGCCTACATTGCATTCTTGTGAACCTTTAACTCATTTTCTATAGCATCCTTAATCTTCCTAGTTAACTTTTATGTCTATTTTTATTTCATTGTAGGTCAATTTTAAGAGTTAATAAATATATACAACAATGACTTACTGCTTAATTTAAATATATAAATTATATATTCTATTATATGATTGAATAATCCCCATCTCTCTGATTGGCTGAGATCCAACTATGTTAGAAAAATACTACGTTGTATTGACCTGCACGTGACGTTCCAGGTCAATACAAGGATTTATTTCCTCTACATTGATCTAAAAATAGATTGAGAAAATCCGAATTGATACAAATTGTTTTGGAAAGCTATAATTTTAATGACTATGATTTTTTCTTTCATGTGAACAAAACATAAGCGAATATATATTTTTGGGTGAAGGTGGTAAGAGAGGATGCAGGCACACCCCCATCCCACCAAACACTTTTACTGAACAACAATATTTACTTTTTGGCAGTCCCTGAAAATACTCCTTCCTTTCAAAATCGATCCTATACAAAAGACATTATTTCTGCTTTTCTATTGTATTTGGTTAGGACTTAATTGAATGCAAACGAGTAATGAGCTGTGTCATTTTATCAGTGAATCATATAATAAAACAATTATTGCTGTTTTTTTTCGGTCAATACAATGATTTAACCATCGTCGACGTACATATTCACCTCGCCCTTCGGGCTCGGTGAATATTGTACTCCTGACCTCAGATGGCTAAATCATTGTATTGACCTCAAAAAATAGCAATAATTATATAGTATACAGGCATAAACTTTGAAAAGAATTTTCTTCGATTTGTGCTATTCTTTTTTTTGTGTGTGTGCGTTTTACGATAGCCTATTCCATGTTTTATGATCGCTTAAAAAAAGATACAGGTCGTTGACGATTGCCTCGCGGTTATCAAATTTTCAAGTTACATGTAAAAGTTGTTTTTAAGTATAATTCATGCAGTTTCACTTCTCAGAATATTTAGTTTATACTTCCAAAAATCGTTACTGTTGCATAACAATAATTTGGAATGTTGGTAGATAATAACATCAATAAGCTTTTCCAATTTTATTTACAGCCGATTAAACACTCCAGAACACACACAACTGTTAAAAGTTACCCGCCAACCTACGACACTTTCTTCTGTAATGTTTTGTTCGGTATTGCCGATTGCGCGTTGACAGTAGTGAATTTTATATACGTGTATGCAAACGTCAAAGCGTTTGTACGTACGTTATTTGAACATGTTAGATCCGCTCGCACACTCACTTCGCTAACATCTAACAACATTCCAAAGAGAGTCACGTCGGCCGAGGTCTCTAGACTTATTCGCTTCAACAATATACGATGATTTTGCATGCGACTATTTAATTGGTTGATAGAATTTAACCTCTGACGTGACCCTTAATCATAGAGATATTGTTAGATGTTAGTGTATCGAGTATGCAAGCGGATCTATTATATCTAATTTTAACTAGATTGCCAAGGGTATTTGAAGGAACTATTAATCATCTGAAACAACTCCAATACTACATGTGCGCATAGAGCAATGTCTTTGGAATATAATCTTTCAATTTTGTTCTTATAAATTGAAAAAGAAGCTCTACTGTTTTTCTGGTGTCGAAGTTAATATTATGCAGTAAAAAAACAACAACGAAAACCACGCGCCGCTATTTAATCGTAAACACCAAGTCGAGTGTCATGCTTTGGGTATTGGTCATTCCCTTGATTGGAGAAGGGTGAGACGACGTAATCGTCACGTGTTGAAAACTGCCTTACATATAAGGTAGTATTCCCCGCCTATTTATAAGATGAAAATTTTTATTGATATATTTATCTATTTTCATTTATTTGATTTATGTATAGCCTTTATATTCCTTTGTATCCCTATATTATCCACTTTAATGGCTCCTCTATTCGCCTGGTTGGTTATGGAAGCAAACAAATTTAAATCTACATTATCTTTTTCGATGCTTATAGTCTTATATTGATAATCAAAAATCATTAATGGCTTCATTAACCCCCGCGGTTCATGAGCTGAAGAAACTTGAATCTACATGGCTTTGCAAGTTTCGAAAACGCGGACTTTATTTCTTAAATATAAACTACACGTATGACTAATCATGGCTTTGTTGTTCTTGAGAGGAAATTTTTTATAAAGATCTTCCTATGTACATGTATTCCAATATGTGTTAAACTTTGATCCCCAGTTCTATATTTAATACCCAAAATTATCGCCCCTTGGAAGAGGGAGAGGCCCTTCATTTGAACAAACGTGAATCCCCTTCACCTATGAAGACTTTGCGGCAAGTTTGGTTGAAATTGGCCCAGCGGGGTGTTGAGAAGAAGATGAACATGTGGACAGTTTACAACGACAACAACAACGACAGACATACAACGGAAAAAACTCGATCAGAAAAGATGATTGCTTACTTGAGCCTTATAATGGTTAGGTGAGCTAAAGAGTACAACAACCACATAAACAATGAAGTAAGAATTACTATCATGGAAAATGTCAATCAGCATTTGACTTAAAATCATCCGTGATAATTATTAGTATTGTCGTTAATTCAATTATGGGTATTTCCTGCATGGACAGAGTGGTGAATCTGTGTGGTTTTTATTTCACCTGACATTGTCATATAAATAATTAGGAATGGAAACCAGCAGCATTCCATATATTATGAGTAAAGAGTATAATCTATTTTCGGACGAACATAGTATCCGAGTGAAAAAATTTAAGTAAAAGCAGATATCACAAGTCGACCAAGCTAGGAATTTGGCCTCCCGGAGCACAGGGACTTGTCACGAAATATTTATCTTCTTTTAAAAAAATAAATAGATCTACCACTACTACAAAAACACACAAGGTGTACTATATTTAAAAGAAGAAAAATATTTCGTGAAAAGCCCCTGTGTCCTGAGTCAGTACGGAACTCCACTGATGTTCGTTAAAGACACTGCTATTGTTTTAATTTCTCGATATCCTGTAAATAAATGATATTTTAATTGATAATTTGCTGACTTACACAAAATTTTCTTAATATCCATGACCATGGGAACTCCAAATTCGTCTGCGTGGATTTCCTTTATGTGTTCTGTATTTCATGTATCACGAACCCGAGCAATCAAAAAGAGAAAAATAATGAAATGAGTGTGCTTGGCTTTGACATAATACAACTGTAACCAAAAAAATAATGTATTACATGTTTTTGCATTTTTTCCCGTGAAAAGCACATTTTTTTAAATTAATAAGCAAAGAAAAGAGAAAGACATTTTATTGTACATTTTTTATCTGTACAAATAATTATTTAACAAGCTAATTCAGAGAATTTGTGTCCCCCGCTTAAGGAAAAAGTAAAACATGCGCAGTTCGGGGGAGGGGGGTTGGGGGTTGGGGGGAGTCGGATCCCCCTCACTGAATTTGTAGAATTATTAAATGTATACATGCATGTTTACTGAAGCAAATAAAATATACCATTATGGATATAAAGATTTGCTTATTCTTTATTATGTGTATAGAAGATTCTTTTTATATGGAATATTTATCACACTGTAATGATGATTTTATGAGTTTGTACAAGCCAGACCTCGTCAATTTTTCATTTTGCGTGCTGAATACTATAATTTAGTAAATAAAAAGTATTTCTAAAAAAAAGTGGTCTGTCCGGGACTTGAACTCGGGACCTCTCACATGGAATGCGAGAAACATTCCACTAGAACTCGGGACCTCTCACACGGGAAGCGAGAAAGCACGGAATCGCTTTACATGGAGTCAAGTATATGCAGAAGTGAAGTCACATACATGTATATATTCATGTCCGTTATTGTCAAAATTTTACACAATCCATGCATGGTGTTTGATATATTTAGCCTTTATTTACAGTTCTAATAGATGTATAGCTGCAGATTTGTAGCTCTCCGAAATAAAAAATATATTGATAGACCGGAGAGCTACAGTGCCACCCATTGAAAAAACTGTATATTTATTGCGCACAAAAAAGTGCGCTCGATTCTTATTTAATTCTTCCAAATTCTTACCTCAATTGCAAATGAGGAAAGATTTCAGAAGGTTTATAAATATATTTTTTTGGAGAGCTACAGATCTGCAGCTAATAGATGTAATAAGAACATAAAGTCTGCCGAGAACCTGTTTTATACGCAATAACTCTCTTCATGCCCCTGTGCTAAAATAGCGACATGTAATACTATAAATACTAATAAAACAAACGGGACGGGACTCTTTGAGAGGGGTGAGAGAGTTCCTAGGGAGTTTTGGTATAAAATTACATTGCATAAGCTCAAAATCTTCTTGAAATATCGCCCGAAAATAATAGTGCTGCTCACAGACAGAATGTACAAATTTACGACCTTGAACTTTGACCTGTTGATCTCAAAATCAATAGGGGTCTTCATTAGGCCACAGGGAGTTGTTACGTAAAATTTCATTGCAATAGCTCAAATGGTTCTAGAGATATCGTGTGGAAACGAAAGAGTTATAACAGTCAGAGTTTGCTCATTTATGACCTTGACCTTTGACCTTTTGATCTAAAAATCAATAGGTTCTTTTTTAGTCCATAGGGAGTTGCTCTGCTTAATTTCATTGCAAAATCTCGAAGGGTTCTCGAGATATCGTGTGGAAATGAAAGCGTAACAGACAGACAGAGAGACGGACGGACGGACGGACAAACCCAAATTAATATCCCCCACATTTCAAGCGGGGGACAAAAAGGACCGATAAACGACATGTCACAAGGGGTTTCTTAAGAAATGATGCAGAAATATTCAATGGAAGTAAAATATCTATTTTTTTAATACAGAAATTTTGGGGGTACGCTATTACTATTTTAGGGGTGGGGTCGGGGGGTTAACAGTAATGTTTGTTTAGAAATGAAAATAAATTTTATTAGATATTTTAAGAATATCTATCGAGACAAAATACATCGTTTTCTCTGTTCGTCTTGTGGACTTTGTAAATTTTTTACGAAAACCAAATGCAATGATTCGACTTCTGCAATTAAATAGCATGAGATCAGAGGGCCAATAGACACCTGAGTAGTATACCGAAAAGTCAAGGTTTTTAGAGAAATAAAGGATATTCACTATTTTTAAAACAGATTTCTATATAACAACTAAATCTCGTAGCCCAAGGGATATAAATTCTATAATTCGGGAAGAAGCACTCCCGCTTATATACAATTATTAGATAGCCTTTTGATGAGGTCAATCCCTATGTAGACCTTAGAGAAAGCGTATTGACCGAGCATAAAGATTTTCAAAGTACAGCAGTGTATTAGTATATTTTTATCGTAAATCAATAGAGCCCCGTCTGATAATCAGAAACTCTTCATCTCTACCACGAAAGTACGTCCCAATTCTGGAACGGAATTAATTACAAGCATTGCTCATACATGTAATATCCACACATCATTTATATCCCGTCTCCGTAATGCTTCGACGAAAAGATGTTTTTCAAGAAAAATAATGCATAATTTTTTTTTTAACAACATGTTATACATTTAAATAGAGACGTGCCTTAACACCTGATTCACTGACCTAGGGGGGGGGGGGGGGGGGAGAAATTTCATAAATTCTGCAAACGTCATCCTTTATCAAAACAGTTGTTTGCCCAGTTCCGAATTTTGACCAGAGCCGAAAAATTATTAATGAAAGAACAGATAATTAATAAATTCAAAGGTGAAATAAAAATAAATTGATCCTTATGGTAAGAAGGCTTATTCATAAGTGTTTGGAATTTAATTGAGGGGTTTGAGAATTTGAGTGTTGGGGGGGGGGGTGTAGCCGTTGACTTCCAAATCTTCTTCATACCTATGATTTTTCATACCAACTTAACCATATCCGAGTTTTTGAGGGGGGTCACCGTTATCGGGGGGGGGGGGGGGGGGTTCCAAGGTCACTTCTTACTTGGGTTAGTATAGAATATCTAATAAATCTGAAAATTCCAGGGACAGTCTGGACCCCCCCCACCCCCCCCCCTCTACATCTTCTCCTGTCTTATACATATGTTTTATCATCATAGTTATTAAAAATCAAAAGTAATTCGGAATAACCTAAATGATTTTAAAGCTGGAATTTTTCTAATGGAAAATGACTTAGGTACAGTCATAGAATGAAATATGTTTACCCGAAATACTACCAGAATGCAGGATTTGGCATCTCTATTTTCAAAATTTCCAGGTGGAGGCCCCCGTACCCCCGCCAGCAGGAGGGGGAAGCCCCTCCAGCACCTACCCTATTGTAGTTTCGCGACTTGGGCTGCAGTACGCAGAAATAAGAAATTGCTAGACTTGCTGGCAACTGTGGTTTTTAAAAATTAGCGTCGATTCCTGCAGTGCAGCCCCAGGACAACCCCCCCCCCCTTACCACCTTCTACTGCCCCCCCCCCCCCCCCCCCGTTATGAAATTCCTGGATCCGCCACTGTTATCATACTTCAATCAGTCGACATATTTTTACAAGCGCGACGAGTGTGTCTGCAGAAAAAAAAACCTCTGAGACGTCAATTTTTAACATAAAACAACAATCCAGGTATCAAAAATTAATAACAAATTCTTAATGCTTGTCTTAAATAAATAATAAGAACACTTGAAAATATCAAAATTTCGAGTTATCATTTTTTTACTAGGTCCGGATTCATACTGTGACGATGGGAAATTATTCTTGAAATTATCACTCGTCACTACATATTTCGTTTTCAATCTATATTCATGGAATTCCAAAAGTTACAATTAATCGCTAAAACTACAAAACTAAGACTAAAATTCTGATACACACATTACATCTCTCTTTCCCCTAAACTCCGCCCACATTTATAAAGATAACCAATGAAATAACTCAAATGCAACATCAAAAGAAAGAATGGTTGACAAAAATTTCCACAGAATTCTCAAATAAATAAAGCTAGCAACCTACTGATACATGTACAACTGCTTTAAGATATGAAGGATATACTATTTTAGAAATATACAAAATATGATAAAAAAAATAAACAAATTTTTTTTTTCTAGCTACATTGTAAATGTCATTCTTCCCCTTAAAATAGAATAATATAAAATAAATTTAGAATAAAAATAATTTACAATTTACACTTTACAAAAGGATTTAAAATAAATCCGATTCTACTTAACATTTAAGCAATAAAATGCTTTCTTTGTTTGTTGTTACTGAAATGAACGGAAGCAGCTGTTGCAGAAAAAATACATAACCCGCGTAAGCGGGTTATGTAATTTTTTTCTGCAATAGCTGCGACCGTTCATTCCAGTAACAACAAACAAAGAAAGCATTTTATTGTTTATATTTATATCTTTTTAAATAATCAATTAAAGTAGGATTAAAAAGATTAATTATTGTATTAATGATGCGAATGTCTTTATACGTTTCATTGATGGAACAGCCACTGATTAAGAAATCTGTACAGGCGACCTGCCTACTGTAGTTTATGCAGTGATGAACGCAATGGGGTTTCTTAAGAAATAAAGGAGAAAATATTCAGTGGATGTAAATATTATATAAATAGAGTAGTTTGAAATATTTCTTTGCATGTTTTCTTTATTGAAATAAACAAAAGCTCCTTAACTTAATCATTATATCAGCGTATTTGAAGCTTTTTCCTTTATAAAGATAGACACGCTCCCAGTAGTATAAGACGCCTGGATGGCCGGGTCAACTGAGTGCACTTTTTATGCAAATGAGGTCAAAAATGCTGGATTCTGATTGGCTGGGGGGATAGCTGGGTCAAGGGAGTGCAGATTGGGGGTCTGGGGGATAGCCGGGTCAAGGGAGTGCAGCCCCTGGGGGGATAGCCGGGTCAAGGGAGTGCAGTCCCTGGGGGGATAGGTGGGTCAAGGGAGTGCAGATTAGGGGGTCTGTGGGGGATAGCCTGGTCAATTCAGTACATATAGCCCCCTAAATACGGGGGTGTTTACACTGTGTTTACATTATATACTATACGCTGCTACTACGATTTTGTCAGCGACTCAAGAATTTAATTATAACGTCACGCTTCACAGTCTACCCAGCCTAGCCTAATCGGTTCAAACTGATTTTCTCAAAACAATAAAAACCTAGATTTTTTACTGAAAACAAT